GGGATTTACTATTCTATTCTATTCTATTCTATTCTATTCTATTCTATTCTATTCTATAAAATGGATAGAAAGGTGTACGTAACTCTAAACAAAATATATGTGGAAAATCTATTTTATTCAACAACACAAAATACTTAGTTAAGCAAATTTTCCAAAAATAATAATTTGTTCTCCAAAGGCCAAATTACAAGGCAGACTACATCATAGTGCAGCGGCGAGGTCTGATGGGATTCCAAGACTCCTCGTTATGCATCCTTTTTTTGCCTGATTTGAAGGACGGGTCCGGTGTATCCTCTCTATCCTTGGGTATCCCAGGATTCATTACGAGACCAAGCAAGCCGGCTGCTTAGAGGAAAAATGTACGTGGTGCCAAACTGGGGTGAATATTGGAAGTGCAGTTTAATATAATCCCAGTCAGTGAATAGTTCCGTCTGAAATGAATGGAAATAGTTGCTTTAATGGTTATTGAGTCAGATATGTGACGGTAATGTTTGATTTATCTAAAGGTTTTTATCTGTTACTGTGTAAATGGGTTTGGCTGGAATTTAAGGACAGATTCTGATATATCCGCAGTGTGGGGACTATAAATCTGAAAGGATTTTAATTATTATTTTGCAAAATTTGCTTAACTAAGTATTTTTTATTTTTTCAATATAAGTGATTTTGCAGATATAATTTGTTTAGATTTACCTATACCTTTCTATCCATTTTATAGAATAGAATAAAATAGAATAGAAAATCCCTTTATTGTTCCACAATAGGGAAATTCTGTTGTTTACAACAGCAAAAAATGTTAGAAAAAAATGGTCACACAAATGTGTACCTTAGAGAAATATATTAGAGTGACATAATAGTGAAGAGTAAAAAGATAAAAGATAAAATACTGTACTGTAAAGTGTTCTAACAATATAAAATTGTTCACCTGGAGAATAAATAACCAATATACGACTATGGACATTTTTCCAGTAATGGATATTTGAAAATAGCAGCAACATCAGAGANAGGATTCTCATCCAGTCTGGCTCTATAAGTTTTGACACTCAAGAAAAATGAGTTGCAAAAGGTCTGTTTTTCAGCAGTTTGGTTCTGAAAGGTTCTGACTTATCCTTGAGGATTCTGGAGATCTGGGTCTTTCCGCCCCGGCAGGATCTCCCTCTTGCCAGAGATGGACCCCAGCTACATGGGCAAGGGAGAGGAGGCAAAGAGAAAAAGATCCTTTGTCCTCTTTAGTTTTGTCTGTCCTCACGCAGAGGGGGGTGGTTGGTCACACCTCTTTGACTTGCCATGTGACTTACCTAAGGTCCTCCAGCTGTTATTCACCAAAGCTGCGTCCTCTTCTCTGTTCATCATGTCAAAAAGAAATATGGACACTGGTTCCCAATGTCCAAAAACCATTATCATGGCATATGGCCCAACACATTTGTGTGACCATTCTTTTTCTACATTTTTTTTGCTTTTGTAAACACCATCACTTCCCTGTTGTGGAACAATAAAGGGATTTTCAATCCTATTCTATTCTATAAAATGGATAGAAAGGTATACGTATAATATATGTGCAAAATCTCTTTTTTTCAAAAACAAAAAATACTTAGTTAAGCAAATTTTGCAAAAATAATAATTTGTTCTCCAAAGGCCAAATTTGAAGGCAGACTACATCATAGCGCGGCGCCGAGGTCTGGTGGGATTCCAAGACTCCTCATTATGCGGCCTACAAATGTGTCCTTTCTTTGCCTGATTTGAAGGATGGGACTGGTGTATCCTTTCTATCCTTGGGTATCCCAGGATTCATTACGAGACCAAGCAAGCCGGCTGCTTAGAGGAAAAATGTACGTGGCGCCAAACTGGGGTGAATATCGGAAGTGCAGTTTAATATAATCCCAGTATGTGAATAGTTCCTTCTGAAATTAATGGAAAGAGTTGTTTTAATGGTTATTGAGTCAGATATGTGGTAGTAATGTTTGATTTATCTAAAGGTTTTTATCTGTTACTGTGTAAATGGGTTTGGCTGGAATTTAAGGACAGATTATAATATATCTGCAGAGTGGGGACTATAAATCTGAAAGGATTTTAATTATTATTTTGCAAAATTTGCTTAACTAAGTATTTTTTATTTTTTCAAATATAAGTGATTTTGCAGATATATTTTGTTTAGATTTACTTCTACCTTTCTATCCATTTTATAGAATAGAATAAAATAGAATAGAAAATCTCTTTATTGTTCCACAATAGGGAAATTTTTGAAAAAAATGGTCACACAAATGTGTACCTTAGAGAAATATATTAGAATTACATAATAGTGAAGAGTAAAAAGATAAACAATAAAATACTGTACTGTAAAGTGTTCTAACAATATAAAACTGTTTAGTTGGAGAATAAATAACCAATATACTGTTGGGTTTAAAAATTGTGAGTTAATATCGGACAAAAATGAATCTGACACACCAATGGATTTTCAAACACAGCTTCCTGCAGGAGGAGAAAGGCTGCCTGCTCACATTTCAGCACCTTTCTGCCCCCCAACAGAACAGCAGGGTCTTTTATTAACAGATCACAAGCAAATGGGTGGGTCTTGGGCAGAAGACCCTGTAATGATTATCTAGCTCGATGCAGCTCATAAAACAGCATGACCCTGCTTTATGACCAACTGGCTGGAGGCAGGTCATAAAGTGAAATGACCCTGAAATGACCCTGTAATGTCTAACTGGCTGGAAGCAGGATTTCAATGTTTCATATGCACACACATCAACTTTATAATCATCATTGAATAATCCTAACATATACGACTATATACATTTTTACAGTAATGAATTTTTGAAAATAGCAGCAACATCAGAGATGTGCAGAATGACTGCAGCAGGTTATTTAACTGACTAAGGTTTCTATCATTACATTTTCACCCTTATTCGCCTCTATATTGTCATGAGTGTAGTCTTTGTTCACTTTATAATAAAAATATATAATAAAATAAAATAAAAAATTTTTGAAAAGTTCAGTATTAATTTTTTTCCTTCTTTCTGTGTCAACTGTCACAGTTGCTAAGCGACAGAGCCTATGGAGGTAAAAGCCGCCGAAGGCTAGACCAGTTTGAGTTCACAGCCAAAACTCTTCCGGCCTCCTTATTTTCAAGGACCTCAAAGGATCCAGTCCAGGTAGATCGCCACCTTGGAGGATGCAGCCTTAAATCTGAACACATCCTGTGACTGTATACGTCAGCTGGGTCCTTGGAAGGCAACACGGCAGTAGGCCATATATGTATTTCCGGTTAGTACAGACTGACTGAGCAGGCAGCGTCCCCTGCTGTCTGATCATGGGTACTACCCACAAGTCTCAGATCATTTTTACTGTTGAGGCATTTGTGTCAAAAGTCAAAATGAAGGCGTAACTTGTAAAGTTTAATTGGTGACTCACAGCAGTAGATTCCTGCAGTTGTTCTTGTTGATTTGTATTTGTGTTAAGGAAAAAAAAATAAAAAAATGTTTTTTTGAAGATTTTAATACACGTGTTTGAATTTGTTTTGCACCATTTGTTTTAAATCAACTGTAGCAAAACTGAATGGAAGACATTTTTGATGTGCTTCTCACAGAACATAATTTGTGTATTTGTACTGAAGAATTTGAAGAGGTGTAACTTTTTTTGTAATTGTGTTAGATAAAAAAATCTACAGTTACAAAACACCAAAGTTACAATGCAAAATAATAATAAATAAAAAATTATTTTGCAACAATAGTTCTGGACCATTTGAAGCTAAACTGCGAATGTAAGAGGTTTTTGATGTCCAACTTGTAGAACAGAATTTGTGTACTTGTGCTTAAAATTTGAACAGGTGTAAAAAAAAATGTGTTCTTGTGAATTTTTTTCTTTAATTCTACAAATACAAAACTTAGAATGCAACTCTCTTTACAACTTCAAATTCACACTTACAATGCACTAATAGTTCTGAAACAAAAATAACCTTCATACAACATCTGTATTATTGCAGCATACATCTATTGATCTTCCCATTTCACCCTCCTCTCATGCCTCATTGATAGGACCCCAAGATACATTAACACCTTGACTTGAAACAAAAACTCTCCTTAAACCTGAAGCACCAGCCACCTTTTTTCAGTGAAGAACCTTGGACTTGTAGGTTCTTATCTTCATCTCTGTCGGTCTGTAATTG